AGATTCTACTTTTGTGTATTTTATTTCAATTTATAGAAGGATCTTTTGCTACTTGCTGACAAATTAATTTAGTATAGCAATTCTTGAGGAAGAATTTCAATATTCAAATTATTTTAACATTGGATAGAGATACAATAGATTGATCTTTTTGTTCATATTAAAACCAGAAGATTCTATTTTTGTGTACTTTATTTCAATTTATATAAGGATCCTTTTCTACTTGCTGATAAAATAATTTAATAAAGCAATTCTTGAGGAAAAAGTTCAATCTTCAAATCTTTTTAATTTTGGATACAATAAATTGATCTTTTTGTATTCATATTGAAGCCAGAAGATTCTATTTTTGTGTATTTTATTTCAATTAACACAAATATCCTTTTTTATTTGTTGACATTAGAATTGAGTTCAATTTTATAAGTTCAATCTTTAAATCTTTTTAACTTTGGATAGAGGTACAAGATTGATCTTTTTGTTGTTATAGTAAAGACAGCAGATTCTATTTTTGTGTACTTTGTTTCAATTTTTGTAAGGATTCTTTTCTATTTACTGATGCAATAAATTAATCAAGAAATTTTGAAATAATTATTTAAATTATTTAAATTATTATATTTAATTATAATATTTATTTATTTAAATTATTTAAATTATATCTTTAAATTATTTATTTATTTAAATTAGTCTAGTTTTGCGGAAAAATCGAATATAATCATTTTTTTGTATTTATTTCAAATTGAAAGAATTGAATTTTGCATATTCTTCTTTAATTTTTATTAGGATTCTTTCCCATTTATTGATTAAGTAAATTAGTCAATTTACTTACAGAAATTTTGGCAGAAGAAGTTTTTTAAAGTATTATTTTGGATAAAGTTAGATGGAATCATATTTTCATATTCATTTTGAAACTAAAAGATTCTTTTTTTGTACATAAAATTTCTTTTTATGTTTCACTTCAATTTAGATTATTTAATTAATATCCTTATTAAACTTCTATATATTTTATTTAAATTATGAATAAATTTTAATTTAAATTGAATTAAATAATGAAAATAATTTTATTATACATGTTAATAATAAATATTTATTATATTTTTAATAAGCAAATTTTACAGCAATTATGCATTACAAATAGTAAAAATAATTATATTATATATTATTATATATTATAAAAATAATTATATTATATATTATATTATATATTGTGTATTATAAAAATTATTATGGGTATATTTCTTTATTATATAATATTTTAATTTTTCGCGCAATTTTTAATGTACGCATGCGCCATATTCCAGCCAATCAGATCACTTCTTGGTGGCGCGTCCCGCCATTTTTCCGGTGGTAGTGATCGCAGGAGGACGTTTCGCCGGTTCGAGACATATAAAGTGTGCCTATAAAGTGTATTTTTCTGTGTTTTGTTATTAAATTATTGTGTGTTTCTCTTGTTTAAGGATCCATTCAACAATAGTGAAGGTATTTTTCTTTAATATTTTGTATTTCTTTGTAATTTTCCCTTCGATCGTTCATTTACCTGTTGCGCCATTAGTAGCTTCTGATATCGAAACATTTTGAGAAAGAATTTGAAGTCAGATATTGCTTCATTTTAATATAGATTTAATATTATGCATTTATTTTATATTTTTGATCTTTATTTTTGCAGATTATCATTTAATAACGAGGATGACTTCGGATTTCCATACGATGGATTTGCAGCTATGACGTCATCGAACGATTCTACGACGCCATTCGAAATATTTTCCATAAATCAGGTAAAATTTCATTTATATTCGTAAAAATATATGGATATCTATATACAATTAGGTTTCTATTATTTTTTTTAATCATATTGAAATTAAAGAAATTTATTACGATCAATTTCAATATATGAAAATGAATCATCTAGTGACGCATATTTTTTTTATAAATATATGTAGCTGTGTAGACCGCATATTATCTACATTTGTCTTTTTCTTTTGTTTATATTTTGCATGAAAACATTTCGTATGATATCGCGTTTCTAAGAGGATTCGTGTTTACACAGGTTCGAACTCGTCGAATTGCCAAGCATATCCTCTCTCTAATTTATAATTCGATAGACGCAATCGAATCGAGAAATGTCATTGTATGTCGATAAATCGTAGCGATTAGACGTTTAGAAATTTTCTCCTTATTGTGTTCATTCGTGTGTTCTTATTTAACTAATATTATTTTATTTTATTTATTTTTATATTTTATTTAATATAATTCTTTAGCAACTAAAATTACTTTGATTTTTTATTCATTTATAATTCGATTGACAAGTTACAAAAAATATATTATTTAATTCAATTATTTATTTAATTTAGTTATGATATTTTAGTATAATCTTATATTCATATATTCATATATGAATTTCATATATTTTATTTGTTTATTTTAAGTTTTGATTTTCTTTTTGTACAGAATAATTGGTAGCAACGTGATAGGATTCGAAAACTAAGAAGTTCCAATATGGACGCCATGGAAACGCGGTAAAATTTGATATTTCGTTCGTATACATTTTTATTTTCTATTAATTAATTTATAATAAAATTGCATTTTATTAAAAGAAAATTGAAAAAATTAAAAATTTATAAGAAATTTAGTTTATTATCAGAAAGCAAATTTTAAAATCTATATATAATATATTTATATATAATATCAATAATAAAAATTTAAATATGTTTTAGATATTCATAAATATTTGGCAAAATTTCTATTTATATTTTATACGTTAAATTTAAAATAAAAAATAGTATTTTCAAAACAAATGCTCGATACAAAAAAGAAGAAATATATTAAAAGGATATTGTTTCTTCTTTTCCACCCTACCCTTAATTCAATATTAATTTCAGAAAATAATTGTGATCGCGTGCAATGCGGTCTGTAGAATCAGTGTTTGTTTCGTAACAGTTTTTTAATATTTTTTAATATTTTAGAGCACAATAGCTCTAATTAAATTTATTTATCAAAATCGGAAAATTAGAG